AACTAAGAGGTGTTATGTAGGGTTCCAAGGAATTTCCCGAAGAGACTGAACTGACCTTGATAGATAACCAAAAAACTAATTGTTTTTAAAACAGGTCTCACCTTAATTTGGTCTTGAACATCCTGCAGAAAATATATAACTTCTAGAGGTATATAAAACAATGCTAAAGTAATATGCTATAAAAGAAATTCAAATCAGTAACACCTTGTGACAGTTGCCAACTACACTGGTAGTGGACTACTGTTATGGATTAATGGATTGCACAGGGTTTCAATTCCAGAATGTAAGGACGGACTTAAAATCTTTGAATTGCATTTCAAGTAAAAGATCTTCAGAGTTCTTCAAACACAACTCCTCCAGCTTTAACTGACCACCTGTCTATGCTACAATAAAACACAAAGAAGAATGTGTGGGAAGTTGGAAATAGATCACATGTGTGGGGCTAAAGCAAGACCAGCCCTGAAAACACAGAGAGCTCAAACCCAGCCACGTAAACAAGCTGTTCCAGCACCAAGAAGGCAAGGGGCCCAGGCCAGCCAGGCAAACAGGTTGCTAGGAAGTGGGGTTGGAATGGGCATCTTCCTCTGGAGCATATAAATAAATGTGCTACAGTGGTTGAGTAGTTCCTTCTATCCCATCAGGAAAGTGAGGGCTCCAGCTTTGTCTCTTCTTTGTCATCCTCTCACTGTCCTTCTCCCCAGGAACATTTAGAGCTGCCGCCAGTCACTACTCGTCCATTCCCAGGCCAAGCTCTCTGGAACTCTGTGTCTGTTCAGAGCCATGAAACCCCACCTCTCAGGGGATGTGGGACCTGCACAAAGCAACTAGGCAGCATTTTTCTAGAGAGGGTGCCTTTTCCAAATCTTCCTGGGCACTCTTCACTGGCAAGCCGAGAGCTATCAGTAAGGGGAAGTACCACATCTGTTTGGTGGAGGCTCAGGGACACCATGGCAGCAGCATGAATCCCAAACCCACAGACCCCACGGCATGGGTTGGCACAGTAGATGCACCAGGTGGAGATGACAGGCAGGATGGGGTTCTGGGGGTTGGTTAGGTCAATGCAGCCAACATCTCCCGCCCTGGCCCCATTCATGGTTCACCACCAACTGTTGCCTGTGCTGGACACCAGGGACACAAAAGGACGACACCTGGTGACCCTGGAGAGGCACCACTGCTCTATCCCTGGAGTGTGGCATCCCTCTTGGGAGGCACAGACAGGTTCAGCTCGGATGCAATGCACTCATGGGGACAGGAAGGAGGACAGGAAAGACTCGGGTGACATGAGGATCTGGCGCAGGGAATGGCAGACACGCTGCTGCTCCTGTTTCGTTTGTGTCCACAGCTGTGCTGAGCAGTGGTGGACCTACCAGCCCGAGGACTAGGAACATGAATTAAAATTAAACCGAAGGCCCCATTCCTTAGTTGTAGGGGTGGCACAGGGCATGCAGCTCCCTTGGGGGAGTGGGGCGGGACTCACCATGCTCACTTTGTTCAGATGGGAAGGTGGATAGGAGAGAGGAGTGGACAGCCAGGGCGGGATGGATGTTGGCACCATGTGGGGAGAATCTTCTGAGCAGAGCTGCCTCTGTGCTGGAGGACCTTGGCTCTGGCTGGGGTTATCGAGCCCAACTGCCTTGATCTTGATGCCCCAGGATTGCGTGTACCCAAAGGGTTTCCTGTCAAATGCTGATTCTGTTCCAAGTTTGCAGCCTCAGGTTTTCCCCACACTGTCATCTTCATAGCTTCGATAATTCCACAAATAATGCCATTGCCTTTTTAAAACCAAGGAAGCAGACTTCCAGGAAGTTGTTCCTGTTATAGTGAGTAGCACAGTGGCTTTGTAGGTCCTGGCTGGCTTGAGCCCGAGGCTGGTGAGATGGCACATTTGACCCCGTCCCCCCAGGGCTGGGAACAGAATCTGGGGTGTCACAATGCTAGGCCGGCACCCACTGCTGAGCTGCGCTCCAGCCCTCAGAACCAGTGGGTGCACAATAGAGTAGTCGATAGAACAAATCCAATCAAGCATGTTAGTTTCTAGAAAACCATTTTCTCACATGGTTTGTAGTTCTTAGAGTGAAAATAACTTAGGCATAGAAGAAAGCCATATAAAGGACAAATTCATAGCTCTTGGTAAGATCCTTGTCTTAAAAGCCCAACATCATATATTATTGTTTACTCAACAAAAAACAAACTGTATTTAAAAATGCAATATGTGCACCGAGATAACTCTGCACCTGCGTCAAGTCTGAGTTTACCGTTGCTGGGGAACAGCTGCCCCCAACACAGGGCCTGAAACCCTGTGCTCCTCCATGCTCAGGACTGGGGTGGGTGTGGCTGGCGCTAGTCCTGTGGGTGCCCACCCCTGGGTGTAGCCTGAGCTCAGCTTTCCTGCAAACTCCAAGCCGCCTCAATCCCTGGACGTGCCCCTGCTCCTGCCCTCTAGAGGATCACAGTCCCTTGCTACATGCTCTCTCCTCTGAGCCCCATGTTGTGGAAGATGTCATCCTGCACTGGTCAAAGCCGGCCTGAGCCATGGACAGGGACAGAGACACCCCCTCCTGCGAAGGAACCACATGGATGGCCTTGTTTTAAAATCCCCTGTAACTTGCAAGCACACTCTTAACTTCAGGGAACAGGACAGAACACAGTCACTTCCAGGGGTTAGCGATCCCAAATGCTGTCTTGAAATGGTAGGTTGATTTCCCAGCTCTGTGGCTTAGAAAGCTCGCAGCTGCCGACCTTGGTGCTCTTGGCTCTCCATGCATCCTGCTTTTGTACTGTGATCCTAAACACTTGGCAGTGATGTTCAACAAATGGAAGCCAACAGTTGTGGGCTGAGAGAAGATCCAGACTGCAAGTTTCAGGAGGGTTGATGGTTGAAAGATAAAAGAAATGAAAACTTGTTCAAACAAGATTCCAAATGTCCATCACTAGATGAGTGGATTAAGAAATGTACAGACAAGCGATGGAATATTACACAGCCCTAAAAGGAGAGTCTACTTGCTACAACACAGGTGAGCCTTAAGGACACTAGGCTAAGTGTCACAAAAGGGCACATGGGAGGCCCTGTGGGAGCTGAGTTCAGGGAAGCAGGACATCAAATGAATGGTGGTTTCCAGGCTCTAGCAGACGTGCACGTGGGGAGTTTTGCAAGCGGGAGGAGTTGATAACAATGTGGATGCACCTGTTGCTCTGAATTGCTCACTTAGGAGCAGTTAAGTCTGTACATTGCATAGTGCATTATTTAAACAACAATTCAAGATAAACCGCCGTTTATAGCTCCACCGAGGAAAAGCAGTGTAGTCTGGTTTAGTGTGTCCTCAGAGACTACACTTGGCACTGTGGTCACTTCTGTGCCCTTAGCTTGGGAAGCTCAGTCCCAGGAAGGAGGGGCCAGGAACGTGCTGAAGGTGACAAGTGAGTCACATGTTGGGAGGACAGGGCTGTCACTTTGGGAAGCCAAGGTCTAGAGCGGCTCTGGGCAAGCAGCTGTGTGTGGGCCTGAGGATTCCGGCTATGCTAGGGCATACAGGGCCGGGAAAGGGTGGCACTTGTCTGGCAGAACAGGTAGGCTGGGCTGTCTCCCAAGAGGGCTGAGGACACCAGCACTGTGACACAGCAGCTCTTCAGGGCTGGAGGCTTTGTGCTGTCTCTCCCTCCAAACCCAGCTTGCACCACTGCACTGGAGGACACTTAGTGGCTTCCTAGGCAAGAGAAAGAACTAAAAGCACAGCTGGGCGTGGTGACGCACACCTGTGATCCCAGCACGGGGGAGGCTGAGGCAGGAGCATTACATTGAGTTTAAGGCAACCCAGGCTACATAGTGAGTTCACGGTTAATCGGAAATCCATAGAAAGGCTGTATCTCAAAACAAATGAGCAAACAACAAAAAGAAAGAACTAAAAACACACAGCTTTGGGGCTGGGGATTTAGCTCAGCGGCATAAGTGCCTGCCTTGCAAGCAGGCAGTTGTGAGTTCGATTGCTGGTACTGATAAAAAGGAAAAAGATAAAAAACAAACAAACAACCCCCCCCCCAAAAAAAAAAAAAAAAAACCAAACCACAGCTTCCAAGCCTGTGATGACACATTTAAGTAGCAGGTGCTACCAACAGGGCTCTTCTCTGTTTTCCTCATCTTCACGAGGGGAGGGGGCGTTGCAGCTCCTTATCCCCAGAGCTGGGCATAACTGATTTAGAGGACTTCTCAGCAGGACCCCAGGCAGGGCCACGCCTCCCCAGGGCCCGCCTTATCTCAGTTCCTGCTGGGCCTCAGGGCCAGCTGCTCTGGCCTCCAGCTGGGCTATGGGGCCCTGGGCTATGGCTGATTCCTGTGTCCCTGCCGTAGCAATTCCGTACCAATTCTGCAGCCTCAATTTCTGAGGCTGTCCGAGGCCACTGCAATTTCAGGATTGACAGTGATTCTGCCGAGACTGAAGAGGAAAACATGTTTAGGGAAACGGGAATTTCTCTCCACCTTTCTTTTGACATCCAGCAGTCGATGATGGATGTTTCAAATTACTCTTGATAAGAAGCTATCAGGAGGAATTATTTTGTTTCACAGATACCTGGCAGGTCAAAAACATACTCAAATTGAACAAATATTCTCAAATTAAGCACACAGAATAGCCAGGCTCAGGAACTGGCGCTGCAGAAGGGAGGTGTGTGTGTGGGGGGCAGATGCACAGGAAGGCAGGGCAGTGCCAGCAGGACCGCCTGCGACATTGGAGGATCCAGGTGGCGGAAGAGCTGACAGAGGACATACCGAGGGCCGCGGAGGCCCAGGTCCTCTGGAAGCTGGAGTGATGTGGCTTGGGTCCTGACTGTCCCCCAGAAGCCCATGTGTGAAAGGCTCAGGCCCAGCTGGGTGCTGTTGGGAGCCGAAGTCTGTTACAGATTAAAAACTGGTGGTCAACTTGACGCCAGCTGAATTAAATCAGCATGGTGCTGAGTGTAGCTGTTCCACCTGAGGAAAGTTGCCAGCATAAATAGAGATGTGGCGAGGACAAGCAAGGTGCTGTAGATTTCTCTGTGTTGCTGTTTGAGCCGTTGGTTCTCCTGGAGGAGCTCGTCATGACTAGCTTCCCCAGTGTGAGAATGACCGTTGTCACTGGAGGAGCTTGGGATCTTGTTGGTGAGAGTGGCTGTGGTTCACTTTGGGGGCGCTCTGGTCCTTACATCGAGCATTCCTTCCTGGCTCCAGAGGGAAGACGTGTGCCATTTAATCTCCATTGTCATGCTGGCTTTCTGGGATGTACTCAACTGTTGGTATTGTCAGAGGAGCTCAGGACCTCCGTGCCGCTGAAGATGGCTGTGGGACTTTTCAGGATAGCCCTGGTCTTTATTATGAGCGTGACTTCTCAGCTCCAGTGTAGAATCCTCAACCGACCAACACAGCTCCTTCACCCTGCTGGCATAGACTTTCTAGCTTCCACCGCTGAACTTCGGGCCTTCCCAGTGCAGATCCATAAAACAGACTGTTGTGAATCCTTGTCATAGGTTCTGGATCTCCAGCTGGCCTCATGGGAGGCATTGTCATGGGCTCTAGGTTTTCATCTAGACTCATGCAGGATATTTTTGTGGGTTGAATATTCTGAGTCTTTAGTGTTGTGGACAGATGTCCTGCACTTTCTGTGTTTAAGGGTGGGTGACCATCTTAAAACAATATTATAAATTCTGTGTCCTGATTCTAATTGTTCTCCTTACAACCTCTGACTACAGCAAAGCCTTAAGAAGGGCCTGGGAAGGTTCGAGTCACAGGGGCTGTGCCCTTGATTGAAGGGCAGTGGGGGGCCTGGCCTCCTCTTTTCAGCCTTGGCTGACATGCATGCATCCATTGATTGTAACATATTGCAATGTTCACGGGACAGGGATTTATAACGTGCTCAGTGTGTTTTAGTATTATGCTATGCAACCCTGGTGTTTTTGCACACAGCTCCTACAGACAGCAGAACTGAGGCAAAGAGGAAGTGCCACATCTCTGTGCCCACTTAGTGGCCAGTCAGCCCCGGGAGCTCACAGGCAGAACCCAGGATGAAGTCAAGGGTGGGCCAGGGAGGGCAGGAGAGCCATGTTAGTCTCCTTGCCAGGGGCTGCTGGGCTGGGGCTGGGGCTGGGGCTGGGGCTGGGGCTGGGGCTGGGGCTGGGCCCACCCTGAAGGACAAGATGGGGCTTGAAATTCAGAGCCACCATAAATCCTGGGGAAATACCTATTAGTGGAAGTCACACCTATGTACTCTTTTCTTTTTTTAATAGTCCTTGTGGTGCTGGGGATGGAAGCCATGGTCTCAAACATTAGGCATGTGCTCACCCTGAGCTGTATCCCCCAGCCCTCAGACACAGCTCTGTGGTTAGATACCCCTGACCCTCACCGAGTGTTGAGTACAGTAACCTCAAGTAGAGCCACAGTGCTGTATGACCATCGCCACCATCATCACCATTGGTTTCTCATCTCCCCAAATGGGACTCTATACCCATGAAACACTTCCTGTTTCCTGCCCATGGGCACAGTCCCTGGGAGATGCTGTTTTGCTTTCTGACTCTGTGAGTTCAGTGACTCTAGGTCCGTTGTGTAAGTGGAGTTGATGTCTGTTGTGTTGTGGTGGGCTGATCTCAGCACAGTGTCCTCAAGGTTTGTCCATATTGCAAGCTGGGTCAGAGTTTCCTTCCTGTTCAAGGCTGAGTAATATTCCTGTTTACTTCTATATAGTGACTATATGGTCTCATTAGACCTGCAAGTCCAGGTGCCTGGATTGTCCTGGGGACCCACCAAAGCCCTGAGAGGACTGAGCCACTTGACCATCCACCCAGCAGCACAGTGCCCTCTGGGCTTCATCTGTTCTGCATTGGTGTGTGGGGGCTGAGAAGTGTCCTCGTGCTTCCTGTCTGAGCCTCAAAAAAGAGGCTTCTGTGTGTGTGATGAGGTTTTACATGTAGTGAGCTCGATCCTGTTGGGGTTGAGATCTAAACTGTGCCTGAAAGCTCATCCCCACAGGCAGGGCTTTGGGAAGGCACTGGATCATGGGCGCCGTGCCCCTCTCTGGCTCAGCTCCAGGGAAGTCATGGCTGCATGTGCTGGGAGCTAGGGCCTGGTCTGAAGAGTGGTCACAGCGGGGCACTAGAAGGGTGGATTCTTGCTCCCAGCTTCTCTCTCCGTTTCCTGCCTGTTATGGGATGAGCAGCTTTCTAGAACCTTCTATCATGGTGCTTCTGCCTTGAAGCTGACCATGGACTGAAGCCTCTGCAACATGAGCCAAAGAAAATCCCTCTTTCAGGGGTCAGGTGTTGTGTCCTGGAGACAGGAAGTGACAAATGCACCCCTTATTTGAGTGATGGTAGAGAGGTTTGTAAATATGGTCAACGAGAGTCACCATCAAAGAAGTATCTGTTATCAGGTGGGCACTTCCCCTTTACCAAAGGCAAAAGGCCAGGGAAACAGCTTAGCAGTAAATATTGCTTGCTGGCTTGTGTGGGGTTCTGGCTCCAGGACATGTTTCTATACTTTTAAAAAACGTTGACATCCATTTCTCTGGAAAAGCAGGCCTTTGCAATGGAATGGCCATTCTGATGGTCCTGCAAAGAAATATAGGGAAGGGTATTTCTCTCCCCTCCTCCCTCTCCTTTTTTCTCCCCCTCCTCTTCCCTCTCCTCTGTGAGGCTGAAATCTTTCATTCAGCAGGCTCTCACCTTGGGTGTGAACGTGGGCTTAAACACTCAGGTGCTGTCAGTTAATGTATGGGAAACCCATCCAGCCAAGGGGAGTAAGCACCATGGAACCAGGTGTCATGGAGGGCCCATAAAAGGGTTCAAGAAGGAGATCTCCACGTCTTGGACTCCTGGGAGAGTTCCCTTGAACTGGTGCATGTTGTCAAAGCCCGACATTCTTCTCCGAAGGACAGCGGAGATCATTGTAATCATAATGGAGACCAGCTCCGCGTGCAAGCCTTGAAAGGAACCAGCAGGGCGCAGGGTGTGGGCCCGCCTGGCCCCTCTCCTCCTGCGACAGCCACCACCAAAAGTGAAGCGAGCCTCCTGGGGGCGCGGGTGTCACGCGTGTCAACATTTCCATTACGCCTAAAAGCAGAAAATGGAACAAATAAAGCAGGTTGAATTTTCCTGCACTATAATGTATGCCAGAATGTCACAAGCGCTCATTGTCCACGGTGAATGCGGAAATAGGGGCAATTCAGGCCGAACAATGAGCGCGGCGACGATGCTATAAAAGCGTCCCTCTCCAGTGAGGTTCGTCTGGGCGGTTTCACCCTGGCCCCCTCCCCAAGGCTGTTCCTTGAATTGTGACCTTTAAAGTTGAAGCCCATGTGGAAGGGAGGCTTCTTTCCCTCACCACCTTCTGTTTCTAAAATGTAAGAAATGCAGTGAAATGAAGCTACGTGGCATGTGTTCCCTGCCCCTTCTCCCTGGTAAACACTGCTGTGATTTGGGTGTAAATGTCCTCACGATTTCTGCAAAAGGGACTGGGTTCAGGCACTTGGCTCCAGGTGGTGTTAGGTGTCTTTTCTTCACAGGAGGGCTTGTCCCGGGTGCTGGCGCTGGTGCATCCCAGGCTGGTACAAATCCATGTCACCGCTGGGCCCCGGGGCAGGTGAGGGTGCGGTGGTCTTTCCTGCTGTTTAGTGGAAAGCCTTTTGGGACTTAGGTTTTCTGGACTCAGAAAGGCCTTTGACCTTGAGCTGAGGGTATGAACTAGCTTGCTGAAAAGGTGCTGAGGCGAGCAGTATGGTGAGGACCCAGAAGGGCAAGGGACAGGACTGAGGTCCATCTTGGGAATGGGATTGCTGGCCACAGGACATGTGGACTTGGTTTTTCCAACACAGCACCCACTTGTTTTCCAAAGTGGTTCCACCGATTTGGACCCTCCTGGCAGCATTCAGCCATTCTCAGGAAACTACACTCTCACCCTCATTCTCTAGACAGCAGCCTTCATTGCGCTGCTCTGGGGAGTCAGCTGCATTTTCATCCACCAATTAGAAGTTAAAGCCTTTTGTGGTGCTGGAGGTTGACATGAGAGTCCCAGGCATGCCAAACAAGTGCTACCTCTGAGCTCCACCCCAGGCCTTCGAAGCAGGAATGCAGGTCTTCTGCAAACAGGAAGGAGACAGAGAGCAGGAGGGCGGGAAAACAAATCAAGAAAAACTAAACTGTGCTGTGGACACATGCCAGCTCTGCGATGGTAGTAATCATTATGTCCTGCAAACGTGGACTAATAAAAAGAAAAACAGTTTTATGGACAGTGTCTTGTTAACTTGCCCTCAAATTTGTGATCTTCCTGGCCCAGCCTCCTGAGCTGCTGGCATTTTATATTTTGTAACTATGCACCTTTTATGTTTTAGACTTAGCCAGCTAGCACTATTTTTGTGGAAAACTGTCCTCACTGAGGCCGGATGTCTTACGGTTTCTCTGAAAAGTGTTTACGCCTGTGCTCATTTTCTCTGCTCTGTCTAGGATTAAATGCCAGTGGAGTGTGAGATCTCTTTCTGCATATGGATGAACTGCTCTGCACCCTCACGGGACCTGCTGGAGGACATGCGTCAGGTGTGGTGAGGTTCTGGGCTTTTGGGCTCCTTGTTCTGTCCTGCTGGCCCCTTTGCCTATCCTTGAGCTGATGTCCCATTCTATGACTAATTTTGAGACAGTTCTTGGGGTTCATATTTTTATTGCCAGTACTGAGAACTGGACTCTAGGGCTTCCATACTGAGTTATAGCCCTCACTGTTTACTGTGAGATAGAGTCTTGCTAAGTTGTTCGGGGCTGGCCTTGAATTTTAGTCCTCCTGCCTCAGCCTCCCAGAGTGTTAGGATTACAGGCATGTGCCACTAATGCATTTCTTATTGTTTTTAACAGCCTCATAGTATTCTGTGGTGTGTGTATCAGGTTTTCCTTATCCAGTATTCCATTTATGTGTCCTAAGGTTGACTCTATACCTGTGAACACTGGAATCTTAAAAAAGCAGATCTCCTAGAAATTGAGTATAGAATAAAATCCAGCAGGACTGGGAAGAGGCATGACGCAGACAGGGAGGGGTGGGTTGGGGTGGGAAGCGAAGGTTGGACAGAGGGTGAGTCCCGAGTCCTTTTGTACTTGGGGTGCCTCAGTGAGAAAGAATGCACTGTAATGTCTTAAGCAGCTCCATAGGCAAATGGGACCTGACATTCTCCCCACCAAGCAATGATAAGCATTCGACATGACAAACGTGCTCATTGCTGGTTTGACCCTTACACAGCGTGGACAGCAAACACGTCATGGTGTGCCCTGCGGATGTACACAGCTATCACATGCCCATCAGAAAGAAGATGAAAGCTGGGGAAAGCAAGTTCCTGAGCTGTGAGATTGGGGCTCACTGTCCTGAAGGCAAAGCCCTGGTCCCTGAACCTGGGGGTTTCGCTCAGCTATGCGCCAATTCAGGTTCCAGTCCCCCATTACAGTTGTGCTAGCCACAGCGGCAGCTGGACCAGTCACCTCCATGCTGCATGGCCTCGAGGGATGGTGACTCACATTCAAAATGTAAAATGGTGCCATGGAAGTCCAGCTGTGAGGGACTTTACTGAGTTTACAATGTGCAAAATTGAGTTTGAATCAGAAATGCCAGATCGGAAGGACAGCTTTCAATTTGAAGTTTGGCCTTGAGTTTTAAGTGTGTGTTTAGAACTGGAGAGGGAAGCCAAAAAACCCTGGCTGGCCGGAGTCCTGTGGTGGGATGAGCGGTGCTCGGGGATTCTGTATGTGGTGCTGGCCCTTGGGAAGTGTTCTGTCTGTTCCTCTAGGTTGTGCCCCTCCTGTGTCCCAGGGAAAAGTGAGGCTGGGAACATTGTTCATGCCAGAGCCCTGCTTCTCCCTAGGGGCCCCCGTCCTCTGGTTCAGGCTTAATGGGAGCCTCTGCGGGGTGGAGGGCCTGTGTAGCACCCCTGGGTGCCCGTCCCCAGGCTGAGGACGGTGTTTGCTGTGCACTGTTTTGCTCTGGTGAAGTCAGGGGGAAGTAAGTTATATACACAATGATCCAGGAAAAATGCCCGAGTGTGTGACAGGAGGGCAGAGTCCACAGGACGCCCCGGGAAACACGCTCGGCTGGAAACCAGGCTGCACTGCAGGTCTCGGCCCTGGGAAGACTCCATCTGAGTGGAGCCCCTGACTCTCTTTCGGCTCTTGGTTCCCTTGTGGACAGGTCATAGAGCTGCCTGCCACGCACTCCCTGCCTTCAAGTGGCCAGAGCTAACACCAGAACTAGTCCTCAACCACGACACGGCCCAGCCTCCAGCCCTCCATGTCCCTCACTGCCCCCTGGGACTTTGCAGGGCTGACGGCCCCACTCACACTCGGACCCGCTCTCCACCCACCTGTTACTCATGTGTCCTGGTCCCTGGTCTGCCTGCAAGTATCCCAGTCTGTTCACTCAGTGATGAGTGTCTGGCACATGGCAGTTGCTTAATAAATGCTCATACCAGACCAAGAAACAACTGTGTGAGCTATTAACTTTGTCCCTGGCTCTATGTGGCTAAAATCCACCCTGAGTAAGTGTCTTAGTCACTTTCTCAGAGCTAGGACACCATACCTGACACCCACTACTTGGAGGAGGAGAGGTTTAGTTTGGCTCAGGGTTTAGAAGCTTCAGTCTGTGCATGGTCAGCAGCACTGCAGAGGGGTCTGGTGAAGGAGAACTGCCTGTATCATGGTGGTGAGGAACCAGAGAGTGGAAGGAGGAGCCCTGGAAGGAAAGAACAACTTCCAGGTCACGCCCCAGTGATCCCCTCTTCTGGCCAAGCCCTATCTCCCACTAGCCAATATTCCTCACAAATCCTGCCTCTGACCACCTGAGGCTTTGGGGGAGCATCCAGATACAAACCGTACCAGTAAAGATTGCATTTCTTATTAAATTCTAACCTAGGAAAGCCCTGGCCCCTGCTGGGGTGGCAGAGATGGCCCCGGGGTCCTTCGCTTTGGGCAATAGGAAGCCTGGGGAGTGGTTTTGGGTTTTTGCCTTGAATCTGAGCTGTGTGATTGAAGATGGTTTCTCTGTCCCCTCAATCTATGACTCCAGCACTGCTCCTGGGGATGGTAGCTCTTCAAGGTGATTTGTGGGTGTTTGTTATGGTTTGGACCTAAAATGTGCCTGGAGCCTGGTATGTTTGGAAGATGATTAGATTATGGGGGAGATGCAGCCGGCTTGATGTTGGGAGGTGGAGGCGTGACCCAGAGGGTGTCCCCACCCCAGTCCTCCCTTCTGGTTCTTCTTCCTGCCCGCCACACCGTGAGCAGCTCTCCTCTGCGACTCCTCCGTTGTGCTGCCAATCACGAAGAACTGCCATGCGTCTCAGGCCTCTGACGTGGAGCATGGTATGCCCCCTCAGATCACTGCCTTTCAGGGCGTCCCCTCATAGTCCCCCATAACCAGCTTTCTACATTAGAAATGCTGGTCTCTGGCGGTCTCCAAATTAGAGTGCTCACTATCTCTGCCAGGCAGATGAATTCCTTCCTTCTGGATTTTTCTAGCAGACGTAGTGAGGGGAGCCTGGACTGGTTAGAGTCCCTGATGCCTTTGGGGAACCCTTGGCTTTATTCCTACTGCCTGGTGTCACAAGCAGGAGCTCAGCTTGGCTGACCTCTCAGCAAGATTCACGACCCCACCTGACTGACCCAAAAGGGGGCTGATGAGAGTTGACGCCAGGGCTTCTGCTGGAGCCCATGCCAAGGCGTGAGCAGGCAGGACATCAGGCTGCAGTGCAGGGCACCATTGGGTCTTTGCTGGGGCAGAACGTGGCAGTGGTCGAGCAAACAAGGAAAGTCAGAGACCCAGGACTCCATCTTCACCAGTAGCTGTTTATGCCATGATCAGCCATGCCTGGATTTAGGCCTGCATTTTTCCCTTCCAAGAGCTCATGTACTCTGTTTCACTTCAACCAGTTTGGGGAGGACTTTGCCACAGGTAGCTCAGAGCACACTGGTCAGATGGGGCATCATGGCACATCTGCCCAAAAATATGTGACCTGGGCTGCACCCAGGCATGGCTTCCGTGGGGCCCCAGAGTTGAGCAGCAGAACTCTCTCAGGCTGCACAGTTCCATCTATCCCTGGTCTACATGCGAAAACCTGGGACCTGCCCTGAGTCATGCATACAACAAAGCCATCAGGGTCTCTCCTGTGGCCCAGTGCTCTGAGATGACAGCAGTGCCACAGCACAGCGTACTGCTGTAGGCCGGGGGCTCCCTTTGTGTGGAAAGGGCCTTGTCCTGTCCTAATGTCGCAGTCTTTCTAATTGCAATGTTATAAAAATGCCCATTAAGGGGGCTGGAGGTGACCTCAAGGCCTTGCCTTGATTCCCAGAACTGGAGATTTCTAGACTGGTATGCTGGGAACAGCAGCTGTCAAAGTGTGGTCCCCCGACCAGCAGCATTGGCACTGCCTGTAGTGGAGACTCAAATTCTCAGCCCACCTCAGACCCACAGATTCAGAGCGGGCAGTAGTCTGCCCAGTGAGACCAGGGTGTTCATGCGCCCACCCAGGCAGGAAGCCCCTGCCTGCAGCTTATTCAGTGCAAAACGAGAGTTCAAAAACTATGTGATAAAAAATGCAAAGTAAACACAAGTGATCTGTGAACAAAAACAGAGAAGTCTGTGTGAGAATGACTGGACTCATGGCCATGCTGTCCTGTACCTCTGGAGAAATGGCAATTCAATGGCAGGATGGCCTGCCCCACCCAAAGGGCTATTTGCACCCCGTCGGTCTGGGAGCCCCCAGGATCTGCAGGTGGAACTTCATGGTTCTGTGTTTGTTCTGCCGAGGGACATGGAGGTTGAACATCCACTTTCCTGTTCTGAGTTGGAAACTTTAAAATCGAAGGACCTTTCCTATCTTTCAGGATGATCATGCAATGACTGAGGGACTCTCCCCTTTGTGCAGATAAAGCACTAGCTTTTGGTCCCCATGGTGGGACCGTCCCTGGGAAGAGCAGTCACGTGCTCGGGTGGGTGTGCTGGGGCCCCCACAATCTTCACAATCACAGAGCCTCCGCAACGACCTTGAACTGGATTCTGAAGGAGGACCAGGGACTCACGTGGCTTCCTTGACAATGTGAACGTGGATTTCAGGCGGCCCCCACGCTTGTCCCCAGCCCCGCCCTCAGCCGCTGTCCCTGGTGAGTCTGACACATCTGGCTGTGACGGCCTTGGCCCACATCCATGAAAACCATTGTTGCCGCCGGCGAACCGCCTTCCCGCTGAAGAGGGGCCCGGAGTGCTTTGTGGAGCCTGCTTTCCTCAAGGGTTCAGATCCTTTTCTAACCATGGCTGGATGGCTCTCTGACAGGAGACACAGACTCGCCTGTGACAGACAATGGCAGCTGGCGCATCTCCCCGCATCCACTTCCAAGATGCCACCCATGAGCACAAAAGCTCCGGAGAGATTTTAGTCCCTGGGGGCAGGGGACATCATGGATTTCAAAGGTGCCTTAACCACATGAGGCCCCTCTGACTACACAGCAGGACACAATGATGGCCTGGCAGTAGATGTGACATCTCTGAGGTGGAGCAATGAATTATATGTGTTTGCTTTCTTCTTTGCCTGTTCCTCCTTGTTATTGACATTGCTTTGCACTTTTAACAATTGTAGTAAAATGCACAAAAATATATCACTTTAGCCATGGTAGGTGTGCAGCTCAGTATCACACTGTCATGCTGCCACCACCACATCCAGCTCCTTCCACCTTCCACAGCAGAAACTTCACACCTTGTGCAGCCAGTATTCCTGATCTGTTGACTTCATTGAATCAAGAAGCTCTTAGCAGGGTAGAAGAACTGCTCCTAGGCATGGTGGGTGGGTCATAGAGAAGTGACTGTGGGTACTTACATGGTCCTTGGCCACTTCCTCTCTGGTGCTGTTCCCCTACTCTTCAGGCCACCGTGAACCCAGCAGAGTTGGTCTGCCACATCCTTCCACCATGATGTTCCTGCCTTGGGGCAGCTTATCATGGACTGAGCCCCCTTAAACTGTGAGCCACATGAGTCTTTTCTTCCTTTGAGTTGTGGGTGTTGGGTGTTGTGTCTTAGTGATGAAATGCTAATACACCCAGCAAGCAACAGCTACCTGTTCCCGCTCCCTCGCTCCTCACAACCACCATTGTACTTTTTGTGTGCATGAGTTTGACATGCAACTTTTGAGGCCAACTTTTTTACAACTAATTTCTGGGAGGTCATAATGAGGGTAAAAATGTCTCACCATTCAGCAACGGTATTTGGGAGCTGGGTGTCTCCAGCATGCTGCAGCTACCATAAACTGGGATGTGGTCTGTCCATATGGTGTTCTGTGTTCATCTGAGTATTCTGGTATGGAGGCAAGAGCACTGGGTTTGGATTCAGAAGATCTGGGATTGAAAATGTTACCCTGGAGAACATGTGACCAAGGAGAAGCAGAATTCTCTATATATATTCAAAATGGGTTCTTATTTTAAAAATCTGAAAGTTCCATGTAAAAATTTAAATTTCTGGATTCTCTTGAAAATATAAAAAAATCCATCCAAGTTTTCAATTTTTAACTAGGGGGAAGAGCTTTGAAGGGACACTGTATTAAAAGGGAGCACTGTGTTCAGATAAATGTCCTTCAAAGTCCTGCATGTCAAAGGTGTGGTCCCAGTGGGAGGTGCTATCAGGAGGTGGAGGAACTTTTAGAGGTAGGGGTTGGTGGGAGGAGCCAGGTTACTAGAGGCGGAGCCCTGAAGGAACTTTGAAACCCAGTCCCTTCCTTAGCTTCTGACCACCCTGAGGGCAGCACTTCCCTCTGCCATGCTCTCCCTGTGATATGGTATGCAGGCCCAGACTAGGACAGGCCAGGGACCAAGAGGATACATAAGGAGCTGGGAAGTCCAAGCAGAGTGCTACCTCCTTAGTCATTAGGAAATGCACATGAAAGCCAAGATGCTTGTTGGAATGATCACATCAGTAAGACATGAGGACACAGAACCCCTGGACCTCCCACCTGGAGGTCAAACTTTCTGGGCTATTACCAAGCTAAAGATGCTCTCAGACTGCCGCAGTGCCTCCTCTCTGTGCAGGTACTCAGGGGAAGGGAAATCATGGTCCCAGTCATCTGAGAATCAAACTGGCATCCGTGCTCAAGCTTGACCGGCCAAGGACTCCCCTGACGAGCATCCCCTGGGTGCTGTCACAGAGCTAATTTGCAAATGATGCACACAGAG